ACGGTACCTCTTTACCCGCCGTCGTCTTCCTCCCTGCTCTCAGGCTTTGGCTACGGGAGAGGGGTTTGGATGAGACCTGGGGGTCCGACCAGAGCTCCTCATCCTCCGTCTCGCTCTCGTACCGCCGGTTGGCCATGGGGTAGCCTGGGGACAAGGGGACACCTGGTACCATCTCCCCCTGGCTAGAGACCCCCCCCCACGCATCACTCTGATTTTTTTTTTTCCCCAAAAACTCACCCAGCAGCCTGTGGTTCTCTTCTTCCTCCAGGTAGAGGGGGTCCTGGTAGTGCACGGGGGCTTCGTCGGGGATGGAGCGCAGGTCCTGCATGCTGAAGCTGCGGAGACGCCCGGCCAGCACCCCCTGGCTCTGAGGGGGGGGGTGGAAAAAACACACAAAGAATCATAGAACGGTCAAAGTTAGAAGGGACCTTAAAGATCATCAAGTTCCAACCCCCCTGCCCTGGGCAGGGACACCTCCCACCAGCCCAGGTTGCTCCAAGCCCCCTCCAACCTGCCCTTGAACCCCTCCAGGGATGGGGCAGCCACAGCTTCTCTGGGCAACCTGGGCCAGGCTCTCACCACCCTCCTACCAAAGAAGTTCTTCCCCACATCTCAGCCCCATCTCCCCTCTTTCAGTGTCAAACTCTTCCCCCTCCTCCTGGGGCCACAGAATAATTTGGGTTGGAATGGACCTTAAAGATCATCTGGGGGTTGGAACTCAAAGACCTTTGATGTCCCTTCCAACCCGAACCCTTCTATGATTCTATGATCTTGCTCCAAATCCGCTGCCCTGGGCATGGACACCTCCCACCAGCCCAGGTTGCTCCAAGCCCCCTCCAACCTGCCCTTGAACCCCTCCAGGGATGGAGTGGCCACAACAACCCCTCCAGGGATGGGGCAGCCACAGCTTCTCGGGGCAACCTGGGCCAGGCTCTCACCACCCTCCTACCAAAGAAGTTCTTCCCCACATCTCAGCCCCATCTCCCCTCTTTCAGTGTCAAACTCTTCCCCCTCCTCCTGGGGCCACAGAATAATTTGGGTTGGAATGGACCTTAAAGATCATCTGGGGGTTGGAACTCAAAGACCTTTGATCAGCCCCATCTCCCCTCTTTCAGTGTCAAACTCTTCCCCCTCCTCCTGGGGCCACAGAATAACAGAGGGGCTCCAGCCCTCTGAGCATCCTCATGTCCCACCTGGAGCCTTCTCTTCTCCAGGCTGAACCCTCCCAGCTCTCTCAGCTCGTCCTCTCATCCCTCTGAGCATCTTCGTGCCCCTCTGCTGGACCTGTCCAACAGCTCCACGTCCTTCCTGTGTTGAGGACCCCAAAGCTGGACACTACTCCAGGTGGGGTCTCACCAGAGCAGATCAGAGGGGTAGAACCCCCTCCCTGGCCCTACTGGCCACTCTTCTCTTGATGCAGCCCAGGATGGGGTTGGTTTTCTGGGCTACCAGCACCCACTGCTGGCTCCTATTGGAAGGGGCTCCAAGGTCTCCCTGGAGCCTTCTCTTCTCCAGGCTGAACCCTCCCAGCTCTCTCAGCTCGTCCTCTCATCCCTCTGAGCATCTTCGTGCCCCTCTGCTGGACCTGTCCAACAGCTCCACGTCCTTCCTGTGTTGAGGACCCCAAAGCTGGACACTACTCCAGGTGGGGTCTCACCAGAGCAGATCAGAGGGGTAGAACCCCCTCCCTGGCCCTACTGGCCACTCTTCTCTTGATGCAGCCCAGGATGGGGTTGGTTTTCTGGGCTACCAGCACCCACTGCTGGCTCCTGTGGAGCTTCTCGTCCACCAACACCCCCAAGTCCTTCTTCTCCTCCTGCTTTCTACTACCTCATCCCCTGCTCTGTATTGATAGCACAATCCCACCCCCCCACAGAAAAAAAAAAATCCACAAAAATAAACACCCCACAAAAAAAAATACAAAACACCCCACAAAAAAGGTGGAAATGATCCCTACGGGACCAAAAAACCCCCAAAGTAGGGGGCACCAGGGCGATGCAGTCCCACCAGGAATGGCTCTGCACCCAGACACCCCTCTCCTGCCACCCATACGGGGGTGGCAGTTTTCCCCACACCCCCCGGGGGCTGAAGCATCCCGAGGGATGAGGAGGAGCTTCATCCCGTTGCCGGTACCTTGGTGGCCGCCTGGATGGCTGCCGTGGCTGCTATGTTGAGGCCCTTCCTGCCGAAACGCACCATGGTTTCACACCAACGTTCCCTGGCCTGGATGATGAAGGTGTCGATCTCCTGATGGGATGGGACAACCGGGACTGAGTCTCCACGGCCGGGGGCACCACCACGGCCCGGGGGCACCACCACGGCCCGGGGGCATCACCACCACGGCCCCAGGGGCACCACCACCACGGCCCCAGGGGCACCACCACCACGGCCCCAGGGGCATCACCACCACGGCCCCAGGGGCATCACCACCACGGCCCCAGGGGCATCACCATGTCCTGGGACACCACCACGGCCCAGGACGACACCACCACAGCCCAGGGGCATCACCATGTCCTGGGACACCACCACAGCCCAGGACGACACCACCACAGCCCAGGGGCATCACCATGTCCTGGGACACCACCACGGCCCAGGGGCATCACCATGTCCTGGGACACCACCATGGCCCAGGGCATCACCATGTCCTGGGACACCACCACCACGGCCCAGGACGACACCACCACGGCCCAGGACGACACCACCACCGCGGCCCAGGACGACACCACCACCGCGGCCCAGGACGATGGGACGATCTCAGCACTCCCCCCCAAGGCACACAGGACCCCCCCCCAGGAGCCAGGAAGCCTACGGCCCAGGACGACACCACCACGGCCCAGGGGCATCACCACCACGGCCCAGGGTGATGGAACGATCTCAGCAACCCCCTCCCAAGGCACACAGGACCCCCCCAGAAGCCAGGCAGCCCTTACCTTCTCCTTGCGGGACAACGTGGGGTGCACGAATTTCCGGTAGAGGAGGCTGGCCCCCCGGGTGTAGGGGGAGAGCAACCAGATGACGAAGGCCATCTTCATCTCGTAGTAGAAGGGAAACCTGCCGGAGATCATAGAATGATCCAGGCTGGAAGGGACCTCCAAAGGTCATCTAGTGAGTGGGTGGGGGGGGAGAGAGAGAGGGGAGGTCTTTGGGGGGGCTCCCCCAAGGTGGCGTCCGTCCGTCCGCCCCCCAAACACACCCCCACCGTGGGGGTCTCACAGCCCATTTGGGGGGGGGGAATAGTGGCTTTAACGGGGTCCACAGCCCCATTATGTTGGGGACAAGAAGGTCCCTGGGGACACATTGAGGTCCCTAAGGGCAGGTTGATGTCCCCAGGGTGGCCCCCAAGGGCAGGTTGGGATCCCCAGGGGAAGGGACAAGAAGGTCCCTGGGGACACTTTGGGGTCCTCAGAGGCAGCTTGGAGTGCCCAAGGTGGGGACAAGGGGGTCCCGGGGACACGTTGAGGTCCCCAAGGGCAGATTGGGTTCCCCAGGGAGATGTTGAGTTCCTCAGGGAGATGTTGGGGTGCCCAGGGGAGGGGAGAAGGGGATCCCTGGGGGCACGTTGGGGTCCCCACGGGCCGGCTGGGATTCCCAGGGAGATGTTGGGGTCCCCAGGGGAGGGGAGAAGGGGATCCATGGGGCGCTAAAAAAAATTGTGGTTGGACTTGAGATGATCTCTGAGGTCCCTTACAACCACTACGATTCTGTGTAGTCCCACCTCCCTGCAGCCAGCAGGGACACCCCCAACCAACTCCCCCAACCAGCCAATTCTTTATCCACTCAACAGTCCACCCATCAAACCCTTGAGTTCCTCAGGGAGATGTTGGGGTCCCCAGGGGAGGGGAGAAGGGGATCCCTGGGGGCACGTTGGGGTCCCCACAGGCCGGTTGGCATTCCTAGGGAGATGTTGGGGTCTCCAGGGGAGGGGAGAAGGGGATCCATGGGGCGCTAAAAAAAAATTGTGGTTGGACTCGATGATCTCTGAGGTCCCCTCCAACCACTACGATTCTGTGTAGTCCCACCTCCCCGCAGACAGCAGGGACACCCCCAACCAACTCCCCCAACCAGCCAATTCTTTATCCACTCAACAGTCCACCCATCAAACCCATATCCCTCCAGTTTGGTGAGGAGGATGTTGTGAAGGACCATGTCAAAGACCCTACTGAAGTCCAGGTAGATCACGTCCATAGGTCATCCCTTATCTACTGACCTACTCACTCTATCCTAGAAGGTCCCCAGGTTAGTGAGATGAGGGGGGGTGGAAAAAAAACCACACAGGTGCCAGGGGGGGTTTCCAAGGGCACGTCCTCCTCCATTCCATCCACCCGGGGACCCCAACCAGACCCTGCTCCCCCCAACCCTCACCAGGAGATGAGAAGGTCGGTGAGGGGGGGTTTCCAAGGGCACGTCCTCCTCCATTCCATCCACCCGGGGACCCCAACCAGACCCTCCTCCCCCCAACCCTCACCAGGAGATGAGGAGGTCGGTGAAGGTCTCCGTGGCTGTGAAGAGGGCGAAGACGATCCAGTACATCATCCAGCGGACCTGCGGGGGGGTTGGTGGGGGCAAACTGGTCAATCTGGGACTGGAGCCCAGGAAGGAGCTCCCCCCATCCCTTCCCGACCCCCCCCCAACTCACGTATTCCCGGATATTTTTGGTCTTCACGGCCTTGTAGGAAGCGTAAGCCGGGTAGAGCATCCCAAAAACCAGCCTGTAGCGGAGAGGGGGGGTGAGGCACGTTGGCCACCACACGTAGAGCATCAGCAGGGTGGAATAACACAACCGCCCCCCCCAGGGGCGCAGTTTGGCTTTGAGCCCCCCCAAAAAAGTCATCCCGGCCCCGGGGAACCCGTCAGGAACCATCCGGGAAGGGGAGAACTGGGCCACCTCCCTCCCAGAGAACTCGCCCACCCTCAACGGGGACCGGCCCGACCTGTCGAGGCAGAGGTTGGGATGCTCCCGCCGGAGGGATGCTCCGTGCCACCCCCTTCCCCCCCCCTCCGTGGGCGAGGTGGCAACCCCAAAGGCGCAGTTGGTGGCCCGGTGACACCCGGTGAAGTGGCCCCAGTAGGTGACTTCCCCAGGGAAGGGAAATCACCTGCCCCCCCACCTCCTTCACCCCCCAAACCTCCACCACAGCGTGGCATCGCGGCTGCCTTCACCCCCTGGCACCCCCCAACCCAAGGATGGGGCCAACCCCCCAGCCCCATGCCCACGGGCACGCTTGGCTACCACCCACCCAGCCCAGGTAGCCAAAGGGTGGGAGGGGAAAGCCAAGGGAGAACAAGCGGGCCCCGGGGGTGGCAAGGATCGGGCCCCAGGGGTGGCAAGGATCCAAGGGCAAACTCGCCCTCCCCTTGGGATGGACAGGGGGCCACCAGCGGCTCCAGGCCACTCGCCCAGCTCCGGGAGGGGGGGG